AAAAACATTTACATATTTATATATATAAAATATAATACAATTTGTTACAGTGTAGATGATAGTGTAGCGTTTAGATGTTAATATCGAGTGTAAATCGGATAGGTATAAATCTAATGTAAGAGCGTTATGGAAGGATAGGGCGCTCAGTGTATGTATATTATAAAGATATAAGATACTGTGTTTTTTTTTTTTAGCCACACCTATCCGAAATAGGTATCGAGTGTGTAGTAAGGTGCCTATGAGGTTCCCCGGACGTCATTTAAATCTAAAACTATATACAGGACATTCTATGTACACGCACACGCTATTCGCTCGATTTCCTTATATGCACTCTCGCGCTTACGCATTACCGCTCCGATCGCCGCGCGTCCGTGTCACTATTTTTTAAAAAAGGACCACGGAAACTCGAGCCGGCGATCGCTAATCCTCTACGTACAGTACATACATTTTCGATTTCCCGGCCTTCACCGTCGTTTTCGTCAAGCCCGCGGCAACGTTGACATCGACCGACTTTCCGACTTCAAAATAAGAATCATATCCACTCAAATTTGGTTCGATACTCCCGATGGAATAAACATTTTTGTTGGAAATGGTGGATGGTGGATGGTGCTGGAAGGTGGAAGGCGTCAGCACACTTCGCGATGCCACGAAATTCGATTTTCCAGCGTCGCAAACGTGGATTTTACTTTCAAGAAAAGAGAAAAACTGTCCCGTTGACTTCGTATTTCCCGCACGATTTGCATAATAACTACTCTATATCACTGTCGGAGAAAACAGAATTTTCGAGTATAATTCTTTAGATTACTTATTACATTATTTTTAATTAAATAAAGATTGATTTAAGCTTCCTTAAATAATTATCAAAGAAATAATGATGCTGTAGAAAAGAGAAATATTAATACAGTTGTTAACGAAAATAATAAATCAATTGCTGCATGTAAAAAAGATCAAAGTTTCGGAAAACTTTTGAAAATCGCCTCGGACATTGTCGAAAAGATGGTGAACGCCAGCAATCGTTACAAAAGAAAAATCGCCTAACATATCTACGATACAAGATCATCGAGTATAAATGGTGTAACACGTCGCGCTACCGTGTCTTACCTAATATAATAATTATCCCAGTTTATTAAAGGACATTTACTCGTGACGCTTTGCTTGATTGTTCTGTTCATATCACCGGCAGTTCTTTAGCACCCATTTCACGTCGCCGACGATCGTCCGCGACGAGAGGCTTGCCAGGATCCTCGGCATCCGTCGGCGACGTGCATCAACTCCTCGAACAAGGACGATACATCGCGTCGTCCCCGCTCATCTCGCGCATCGATTATTACGAGCCCGTCTGATGAAGTTAAAAATCGTCCGACATTCAGCAGATCCTAACATGCATGTCCACGCAATGAAGAGAGAGACAGAGAGAGAGAGATACAATCGAGAAGAGAAAGAAACTGTAGCGGAATCGGTCGAATCCGCGGAATCAGTTGGAATTTCTGACTGCGGCTACATGTGCTTTAAATGTGGAATGATGTTATTGTGCTTCCATCGAGAAAACTGTGTCGACGTGCCAGAAAATAATGCGATGCCGTCGAATCCCATCGGTAGTCGATACCTAGTGTTTCAACGAATGATTTATTCATTTTAAAAAATCTCACTTTGACGGGAAACATGAAACTTTCGTAACTTCCAGCAAAAGCTTCGCGGCGCTCGCATTCTCAAGCAAAACGGGTTAAACGCATCGTATCCCGCACGAACTTACACCGTTGACATGAACGCTCCATTTTAAACGAACAAATTTCTCGAAAATATTCAGTAACTCTGCGGCAGAAACTCACCTGCTCCCGGATAACGGGTTATCGGAAAAAAAAAACAACGTTGCGGTGGTCCTCTTTTGGGTAATAATTGTCCGGCGCGTTTGCGAGTTATCGAAAATAGTTTGCTGAACAACCACGTACCGTCAAGCACAGTTTTGGGAAGCGACGTCATGCGCGAATTTATCGTCCGGCAACGCCGATCGCTTTCCATCGCCAGGATATAGTTCCCCGGGTTCTCGCCGTTGAACCGGGTCCAATCGGAACACAATATTTGTAAAGCAATATATACTGCAGTTCTCAACAATTTCGATTTGATAAGTACAGCGTGGTTACGAACGAATGACCTCCGCGTTGCTTGTGACCCTTAAGTAGTCGATGACGATCGAAGTGCTTTTTCTAACACGAATAATTTTTCAGAGGGTCGATATGGAAATTACGTTTCCACAAATAAAATTACACGATATAAATAAAAAGATAATATTTATAAAGTCATAAGTCATTTTTTATTATACGTATTTTGATAAAATAACTTCAACTGTTCTTTTTTTATATATATAAGTTCAATTTTTGCTTGTGGAAATATATATATACTATGCTATGAATGAATGCATGAATATTACGAGATATACTCGAGAGTCCCGACTGCTTAAGGGTTAAGATACACGGCCATTCGATTGCCCTAAGGTCTTCTCTACACACACACAGATTTTCCTATGACATTTACGAATTATCAGTTAGTATTAAATTGTAAAACGTACCTACGTGTCCGATACCGATTAGTCGCCCCTACTTTGAGATTTCGCTATGCTAGAAGGGAGAGCAGGAAAAAAGAAAATCTTTTCCGATCTAACACCGAAAAATGTGAACTCGACGAAAACAATTTAAAATTGATTTCAACTAATGAAACTCCCCGTTTGTTCTTTTTCTGTTAATACCGTTGCAAAATGAAAATCGGTAACAGCGCGTATTTAGGGACACTTCCGTTTCGTTTGATTTCGAAATGAGGTAGAGTATAGAACAAATCCGAGTCGAGAGTCATTTAAATGGAAATTATCAGGAGAAGGTTTCGAATCGAATGCAAATCGCCATGCAGATCGTATCGTTCAAAACGTTCGTTTAGCCCTTGAGAACGTTCACGAGTTTACTAGGCACGTCATCTATATTTATTTGTATCGTGCAGCTGATTGAAAAGTATGCGGCTAATAATAACATCAATTTCATGATGGTCATAGTAATTATATTAATTAATCAATAAACTGGAGATAAACAGAACTTTGGTAAAATTGAATAACTTCATTTAAAAAATACGTTACAAAATCATAAATCGCTGAATCATAGATTTACAAATCTATAATCGATAACTTAGCTTATATACGTTGAGCAATCGTAAATTATCGCACGCTCAAGCGCATATCGATTACTCTTTGATATCCCTAATACGGATAAAATTAATCAGAATCACACAATTCATCGGAAAATCGAGTGTCCCAAATATGTCATATTTGTTCAAAATCTTGAAAGTGTGTGTGTGTGTGTGTGTGTGTGTGTGTTGTGTGTATGTGTGTACGCACAATGAGAGATGTGTCAAGTCGCAAGTATATCGCTTTATACATTAAATAAAAAATAAATAACCGCCCATATACGACAACGAGCGTTGACAAGCGCGCGTGAATAACGTTACACGTAATAATAAACTGTACAGAATGTTACAAAGAGTCGTCGGGTATATATAATATATATATAGTGTGTCTATTTATATATTTATATATAAACGTTGGTTAAGTAACACACCTCTTCGTAAAACGCTTCAACAAAAGAGATTACGATTTCGATAGCGAGACTTAGACTCTCGCACGAAATTACCATCGCGTGCAAATCAACCAATGCTTATACAATCTTTATTAAAAATGCATCTTTATCGCTATACGGTCTAATTAACAAAATGTACAGACTTCGGCGAGAACCGTGCGAGCACGACGTAGTGAAGCGCGCACACATTTATTGCGTGACCGTCGAAGTCATCAGAACAGTGTTTCCCAAATGTTGTTTTACGCGGAATTTCACGAGCAACTTTTATTATAACGAAAGATACGCTTTTTGCGTAAGACATAATGCACGTTACTTTCAGAGTTCTAGTTTTTCAAATTAAATTTTTTTTGTTCAAAAGTCAATACAAAAAAGATTTATGAGATTTTAGATAAAAACATTTATTTCACTCGATTTAACTTCGCTTGATTCAATCTCATACTTTCGCTTCCACAGGAAATGGCATGATAAAAAAAATCGTGATATTTTTTCATCGCATTCCAAATGGATTTGTGATTAATTCTTTATAACGCCACTTGAAAGTTACCCAACATCTATATTCTTTAAATTTTAATGATTCAATCAATATTTTCCATTTGTCGGTTGTATAATTTTTTTATAAGCAAAAAAATCCGTTTATAAAATCAAATTAAATTGGGAAATACTGTACTGGAAAAACTTCGGAGAATGCAGACCGTATGCTGAAAAATAAATTCACGAAACGTTCTTCCGCGAAAATCGCGACGTCTCGTACGGTTCTCGAACAGCAAATAAACAGCCAACAATTAAACTCTTGCGATTAGCTCGAAAGAAGTTTTAAATTAATATTCCGCTCTGTCGCGAAAATTTGCTAGGATATCTCTCGTTCGAAATCGCCGATCAATTCGTACGTAAAAGGATCAAACAGCATTTCTAATACTTTGATTATTAAATGTTACCTACTCCACCCATCGAGATGGAATAGATACATTTTAATGCGACTTAAAAGTGGCTTCGATTCGTGTGTTAGCGTTAAGGCAGTGTCTCGAAATCGATGATGATAGAATGACTCACAAAGCAACGACAATGAATGGCAGCTTTATCAGGCAGTGCGATCGTAGAACGAAGTAATTAACTTAAAGTATAAATAGATATAGTGCAGTTACCATATAGTGCAGAAATATCTCACTTCCGCATCAATGATAAAGAGTATTGCATTTGCACGGAACTCGTTCAATTATTTCGATTATTATCGTTAAGAATATTACATAGATTAATATTTACAACAACATTCTATAATAATTTAATTCTTGAGATTACAAGTTATTAAAAATAAAATGTTACTTAATTTTATTATTATTATTATTTTCCGTAATATCTTAGTTATTAATTATAATCGCAGTCCATAATTCAATATATTTAGGTCGTTTATTTATTCTTTACATTTTATCAAGACTTGATGTGAAAAATAATTTTGCACACAAAACAAAATGATTCATAGGTCCCTTCTATTATATATATAAAATTTCTTTGAAAAGTTTTGATTATATTACTGTGAGTTGATATATCGAGGCAATGAACGTGTAGTATATAAAGAACAAGGAAGTTCTCGTGTTATTCATTTCCATCGCAACTTGCATTATTGATTCTAACGTGCTAAAGTCTACGTACGACAAAGCCGGTGCGTTCACATCCGAGAGATATCCCGCTATGGTCATCTTACGCGTACACGCGAGACATTACAGACTTTTTTTTGCAACAGCGTATTTCGAATACGGTAAATGCAAATGTTCCGAATATAAATAATAATATAAATTTCAGGTGAAAACTGTCACGCGACAATTTATAGATATTTCGCATCGAAGCGTGGGACTTCCGCTTTTACCATGTTCCGAAGAGTACCGCTCGCAAAAATTCTCTATTATATAACAATGGTGCGCGCAAACGGAAGTCGCGAAAGAGAAAAGCCGATCGCGAAACGAGAACACGATAGATTCGATCTCTCGTGCTGGGTTTTACCACGGGCGTAAATTAATATGCCGCACATCCACATCCGGCTTCCGGCCAGTACAACGTCATTAACTCTCTCCTTTCTGGACGATTTTTAAATGCCGAGATGAATATTTGATTATCATCATGTCGAGTTTCAAAATAGTGTATATATTTTCAAGAGTTATCGAGGACAAAGTGAATTGAAAACTCGACGTGAAAAAAAGTGTCAAAAATAAAAACGTGAAAAAGAATATTTTCTAAATAACAGCAGCACAAAAATATTCTATACACCTAGTACTTTGTAGATGTTCTCTTGAAATAAACTTTTATAGCATTATTTGCCTTGAAGAAAACAGAACCTTTTTTTAGTCAAGCTTTCAAAAACGACATTTCTCTGTAGAAACCGTCCAATTTAATTAAATTAAACAATCGCGAAATATGTTTAATTATTTTATTATAGGTTTACTCTTTTATGTTCCTAATTTTTGATATTTTTCAAAATACAGTTACGTAGCTGCACTAAGAAAAAGAGAGTTAACATTTCTTGTTGATAAAACCGAACGTGTATGGCGGATGAAATATTTTCGATGACATAGCTCCAAAATTACCATAATTTTATTTCAACACCTATAAGTCGAGATAACGTGGATTCGGTAATTTCTTCTACGTTTTCTATGATATATATATGTATATAGGTTTCATCTACATCGAATCGAATGGTGATTGCAATTGTCCTTTTCCACTCGCAGAAATTCGACACTCTCGACTAAAGGCTGGCGAATTCTTTGCGGTACGCGCGTATATACGTTCCTTAAATCTTTACGAGCTGCTTGTTTTACAAATTAGGTAAATTCAATCTTTAAATACTAGGAATTTTTCAGTGAGATGCGGATATAAACTGCTGTGCTATATTAAGATTCTCCAAACAAGAATGTTTTACAGAACTTATAGCACTCCAAAATATAATGTACCGAGTTAGCTTCGATTACTTCATTATTTTAAGCGTTTCACTATTCAGTATCGGAATAACGAAGGTCAAAGACGGCTGTAATGTCTATTACCTATCAGTACGAAACACGATATGGTACACGACGAAAATCGCGCCAGCCGCTAGCCGTGCCGGAAAGATCATCCCGCCTCGGAAAAAAAAGTCCATCCGATCGAATCACCCGAGGAATCCCGGACGCGCTCGATCGGAGAACAATAACACTTATCTAAGCCTAAATGTCGCGTCGTTGAGATTGGCATGTACTTACGCGAACATATACGCACGCTCCAGCTGTTGTTGCTGCTGCTGCTGCTGTTGCTCGGTCCGCCGCGGGTTCGATCGCGATGGATGATCACCAGGGCGATCCTGGATCCGAGTAAACTCGAACGACTGCTCGTCCGGCGGCGACGTTCACCTGAACGCAGCGCCCGCGACAACGGTGACGGCGGCCAGGATCACCGCCGCCGATACTGTACGGCCACAGGAGCTACCGGCCGTGGGTCCTGCGTCGCTGCTGCGGGATACTTTGCTACGCACCAACTGACCTCGCTCGACCGCATTCGATTCGTCGCTGTCGGGGTCGACGGGCGCGCCGATGTCACCGTCCTCGCTCAACAGCATCGACAGCTTGTTCCGCAGTGGCTTTTTCGCACAGGGCACGCTCGCCTCCTCGTAGGGCCTAAGGATACGCGGGTAGTGGACCTCGAGGTTGTCCGTGTTGGGCAGGGCGCCCTTACTACTGCCGCACAACGGCTTGAACGTGCCGCTGCGAGTAGCTTCTTGGAAGCTTTGAAAATTCGACCCCCAATTGTAGCTGACTAGCCGTTCCTCGAGCGTCATGCCTGCCAGATTCTGCGGCTCCTGGATCATCACAGGACTGGAACCCCTGCGACAAAGACGAAGTCGCCTCGTAAAGTCGCCGTGCTTCTCAAATTTTACATACATACGCTCTTATATGTATGATTTTTTTATATATCTCATTTTGATCATGATTGATTGATGATATGCGCACTTTTGTTATACAACTGTTATTATAGTTATTCGTAGGTATATAATATACTACATATCATTAAATTTTCGATTATTAAATATCGGAACAAAAAGCGGTGAACCTTAGGATTTTCTATTTAAGAATTATTTACGACGAGTTAGGTATTGTGTAACTTAGCAATGAACAGCGCGACGTCTAATACGACATAACGTCTGTTGCTCCTTGGGTCAATGACTGGCACTTTCGCAACGTATACGAGTTGTCCCTAATAGCCAATTTAGAGCGATCAGAGAGCAAAAAGTCGAACAATCATCGTTTGCATAGAGCCATATAAACTGACAGTAACGTGCGATTGCGTCTTAGTGCACCATCAAACTTTCCTCTCATTCGCGTAAACGATTTGCCAGTCAGGATTATAACGACATAGTAAGAAACGAGAGGAATATGAGCTACTTAAAACCGCGTAACGGAAATCATTATCGTAAAATAAGAATTTATGTGTGAGATAAATTTCAGACAAGCTACAATTAATTATTTATCTAATTCAAATACAATTAAACATATATCTTTCCTAAATTCTAGGAATATATAAAATGTGTCTAGTATTTTTTTCATCTTCTTAAGAATATTTCAAATAATTTTATCATATATCACGATTTTTTTTCATATATAACGGCAAATTTGAGGAAATATCACTTACTGTATTAATTTCTGGATTCCCAAGCTGTGCAGCACTGTCGGTAGCGAAGGCAAAGAATAACAAAGAGATAATTCAATGCGAGGATAATAGAGAACGGACACCAGGCAAGTTTCTTCTCTCGTTCCCAAGCCGCCGAGCGTAATGGCCGTCCGAGATTCGGACGAGTACGTGCATTCGGCGACCAAGTGATCACCCTGTAATATAAAAAAATCCCTTCACGTGAACATCACCAGGCTAAACAGAGATTCTTAACTTATAATACAACATCAATTTAATAAAATAATAAAAAGATAGCAATAACACCCAATAAATTTAAAGTCAAAATTCTTAGATTGGTATAGTAAAACCGTAATGCATATATATTGATACTTTATCGTAAACCTTAGATTTTCAATTTTGTGTTCTCACTTTTCAATTCAATTCTGTCATAATACATTTTTATTCTATGTTAACACGTAATCGCATTTAAACCCACCCTGTTCGAGCTCGTTCAAACAATTAAACTCAGGTTCATGCCCTGTATCTGTAGCATGTCGGCACTTTACGTGATCAAAGCTATACTTATTGCACGTTAATAAACTTTATAACAAGCTCATAAACTTTCTGATACGTGCTACGGGTTATAATGCAGCTGGAAGTATGTTCGCGGCAACTAAACGAAAGGCCGTGCAACGTAGCGGAAACAGAACAGAAAAATAAGAATATATTAAAGGACCGCACTGTAGAAGACGTAAGTTACTCGCGAAGAGCGCTTGAGGAATAATCTTGGATTATTTTTTCGAAGAAAAAAATCTCGGCGGATAGAGTTCGAGATTCTTTTCCCGATTCTTCGCGATTCTCTTCCGTTAATCGGGGGATATTTTATAATTGCGTTAGCTATCGCCGTAGGGAGGATAAAGTTTAATAAATTGGCCAATAAATTGGATTTTGATATAACGATTAAAATGAAATCTAACTTAAGCCTCCAATATTCGATATCTTCCTTTCAAATAATTATACGTTAATAGAAGAAGTATCGTCATTCCAGGGGGAAACGGAAAATGCTATCTTTCGTTGTATTATACATATATGTGGAGTACATTGTATACATTGTACATCGCACGTCATGCTAGAGTTAAGACTGTACTTACCGGGTACACCTTGACCGGTCTCTGAAGCCTCCGATACTCTTGATAATTGGGATCGTAGTTGGTGTCGGCGGCGATCGGCGGCAGCTCCTCGCTGGCGCGGATCTGCCGCAGGCGGACTTTTCTGCCGAGCTGGTGGGTGTGCATGATCACGGCGAACATGTTAATGCCGCTGTTCGGTATCGTCTGGGCGGTGCAATCGGCGATGCAGTGGCCCTCGGAGACCACCTCGGGCTGGCCGGGCGGTATTATATGCCGCCAGTTCGGGTCGATGCCAACGCTGAGGATACCGGCGTCATGGCCGCGCAGTCGATCGGTGTAGAGAAGACGCAGGCCGCTGCTGTCGCTGATGAAGGCGTCCAGCTGCGGGTTCGTGTAGTGGGTCTCCAGCATGTAGTAGCGCGGCCCCGTGTACGGATTGAGCGCGTATCCGGCCTCCGGCGGATAATTAAAGCCCTGGTGCGGCGAAAGGGAGAGGGAAACGATGGATTATGCAGAAGCCGCCAGTAAATAAAAACAGGACCGGCAGCGAGTACGCCGTACGCCGCGCCGCGCCCGCGCCCGCGCCCGCACCGGTCCGGTTCTGATCGGGGGCCCGTTCTCGTCCGATCTGGTCCGGCCTGATCCCGCCTCTACCCTGGCGACGTTTCCAGCCTGCGTATAATCGGTATACGCCTCGATCCATCAGAACGGGTCCCCGATGAAAATTGTCGTTCATGGAATTCGTTTCCTTATTGGCGGTGCATCATGTACTCGCGAATTATGCCCGGTTAATTTTAATTTTCAGATACCGATGATGAGCGAGATAATAATCCGCCCGGATTCGGGGAATCGTGTGCGGTAATCGCTATCTTCAAAAACGTTTTGAATCTAAATTTATTAATATAGCCCGAGTAATTTTGATCGTCCGCGCCGAACGTGTTTGCATTATTAATGAATTTTTTATTTTGACTATAAACGTTCAAACTGAGATCAAATAAAACGTTTCGCTATAATTTATAAAACTAATTAATTGCACTCTCTCGTCCCATAATGGAATTTTTATTTAATATTATTGATGATTTTGATTTATTTTCTATCTGACATTTAAATAATAATAACGCTATTATATAAGTATAAATTGATGAAATCTAAATTATGAAATATATTGTCATAACTTTTAAAGATAATCCGATAAATATTTGAAGATTATATAGCAGTATTATCAGACATGCATTTTAGCATTAAAAAATAGAATAATATGAAAATCAAAATAAAAGTAAAAGCGCTTAATGCATCATTTATTGAATATTATAGCAAGTATCTGTTATCTCAATTAACGTTATTATCAATATTATTCATCATTTACTGGGAATCATATCCCGACGAGATCCCGACACGTTTTACGATCGGTTGCAATTTCACAGGATGTTCGTATTACCAATAACCACGAAGAAACAAGTTTGCGGTATCCCTGCTCTCGCATTGGTATACATTACATCGCATTCGGAATTATCACGAAACTCTGAACGTGCCTTGCACGATCGCGCGCAACATTATTTGACGAAGAGTCAAGTTTACATAGCGAAGGTCAATGGACACATATCTCTGACGATCAAAATTGCAAAAATAAAATGAATAAAATGCAACGAATTTAAGATATTTCTCTTGGGTATAGCTTTTTTCATATATTTTTAAAAGAAACAACTTATATTTCTCAATTAGTTACTGTAAATAATTTACTAAATCATTTCACTCTCTAACCGAAGACTTCGATAAAACAACTATAACTAAAGGTAATTCCATTATTGGCAAAATTTAATGATTAAAGAGTTTAAATTAACATATTATTATTATTATCATAGAGTGCGTAATCAAGGAAAAATAAATTCTAAAATTTGTATTTTATAATCTGCATTTTCTACAGCTTTGCGATTTTGTGCAGCAGATATGGTTTCCATGACTACCGAAAACTTGCCAATATGGAAGCACCTCGGTGCCTCGCGTCGAGGTCTTCGGCGCGTGAGCGTAAACGAAGTTTTCGACATACCTCAGAACCGAGGCTCCAAGTGGCTGCGATCGTGTTGCACTGGAATGTGGGTTTATCAGGAACGTAACAGACACTCCCGGTCGTTTCGGCCGCGGATTCCAATTCGGCTTGATCTCCGCGGCACTCGTACAGGGTCATGTGGTGAAGGTATTCGTGGCTTCCCGGCTGAATAACTGGTTCGTACTGAAATACAGAACAGGCGTGCAAGCTCGTAACGAGGATTAATGTCGTGCGCATTTCGGTCGTGTTCGTAACGTGTTCATAACTCAGGAACGACGTACATCTTGACACATTTATCGCAGTAGAATCGATGCTGAATTGATTGAAGAAACCGCGAGTTTCAAGCGAAGATTATCTCATTTATTCGTACAACTTAATCATGTCAATGAAAAAAATAATGTGCAATGTTCTTTATTTCTTTTAAAATTTTCGCGACGCATCGTTCTAGTGATAATTAAGCCGGGTAATGATTCGTGTACTCGTCGTTCCGATTTGAAGCAAAACGGATGTCATTGAATTAACTATGGCTAATGGAATATCAGCGGTAACAGAAAAAGAGGAAGGCACTTCGCACCCTAATAGGCGTCGTTCCTAGCAGTTTAGAGAAAACTGTTCGAGCGCAAAATTGGCAAGAACTAGTCTTTGATGCAAGTCGATACGCGTCCGGTATTTCTCGCGCTTCTACGTCGGGAAAACGTGCCGTTTCGATTCCCTCTCAATAGGAGCAACAAATTAAGGTGCCCGCCGATACCACGGTTAACGGCAGTTCACTCGACCGTTAACCTCAGAATGCCTCGGTGCTCCGTCAATAAAAGTTCCGTAAAATAGAGTGAGGAGGGAGAGAGGTACGCGTTTTAAGCGCTTGAGTTATCGTAATCGGAACGCTAATCGTCTCTCCTCTCCGCCACTCCGCCGCTGTACCCGCGATAGGAACACAGAGCAATCGTATCGCGTAGTTGGGTCACGTCCGATCGAGTTCGAGATTCAGGTGTCGGTCGGTCGACCAGCGCTAGATAGAGCGGACTATATCAGCCAGCCGACCCGACACCCTATTCGGAAACACCCGGATGCGGATATGAACATCAGCGAGAGCCGAGATACGATAAAGTTGAAAAGAGAATACAAGATTGAAGTAAAGTAAACAAAAAATAAGAAAAATACAATAATAAATAAAACAGAAATGTACAAGTACAATATACATCAAGACAGCTTCTTTGAACTGATGTGATGATGAAGATGATCCATCATTTATTTGTTCCGGTTTTCCGATAACTGTCGGACTGTCGGACGGTTACATCGGGTTAAGTAACAACTGGGTAAAATACGAATAGAGTATACGGTTAGGTGAGATTTTATTGAGTTATCATATGCTCGCGAGAGAGGAAGAATATAACTCGAGAAACGCGTAAAACCTGAATTACTTGCGGAAATATCTTTCTCGTTCAAATTATTCGCTGACATAAAATTCGCGTTGAATGGGGGGAATCTAGTAAAAATAGGCGAGTACATAAATTCTAGAATTTATAGCAAAGAGGTAGTATTTACGCGATCTTTCATATCAAGAATTCCAAGTATTACAGCACCTTTTCTAATCGCGTAATTTTCTTCAGTTTAAAACCAATTCTCTCCTTAAAAGAAGTATACTTTCATATTACTGTGCTAATATCCATTAATCTGTTCGTACAAGGTATTAAATTTGAAACCTCCATGATGCATATGTCATTTTAAATGCAATAAAAATTAACAGCTTTTAATAACGTGTAAAAGTATCATCGGTAATCATGATAGGATTTTCATTTGACGTAGTATTGATTGCCAAAACAAAGCAATAGCAGTGGATCGGAAAACGTTAACATAACATAAAACGTAAGACACAACTGATTTCGTCAACGATAAAGTATCGCGTCTCGATGAATTCAAAAGTGGAAATCGGCAAACTTTTACCGTCTGCATTTTACTGCCAGTCCAACTGCGATTTTTAACACGCGATTTGGAGAATCGCGCGCTTCTGCATCGAAATGGAACTTATTACCAGCGTGAATCGATACGCGGCAGTAATACAAGGTTTACGACCGGCTGCTTTGTCACTGTCACATTTATCGATGACATCTCGTGCATCGATCTGTCAGCGTTGGTAGCGAAACCGGCGGCCGGAACGACGAAACGATCTCGCCTACCGCATTGATCCTGCCATCATGCAGATCCGCCCAGTCGTACATTTACAATGAAGCTTCATAGCCGCATTAATCGATCGACTTGCATTTGGCACGCAAATCAAAGATCTTTTTATAATCGAGCGTGCAATGAGATACGCGATTATTTTATCATATTTTTTGTGCCTGCCATATAAAAAGCAGATATACAAGCTTTAAAATAAAACTCTAAAAATTGTAGTTTAATTATAATATTTGAAATAGATATAAATATAATTATAGAACTTGTGGAACGATCAAAATTCTTATAATTAGCATATAGAATGCTCCGAAATTTTAATGTATTAAAAAGACGAATACATAAAATCACGCGCGTTAATGTTTTTAAAACTTTCTATACGATCAAGGTATTATTTAAGTTTAAGAGATCATCAGGAAGGATGCGAGATTGTGAATTAAAACAATATAATTCTTTCTCCTAGTACGTCAGAATATTTCTAAAAGAAATCGTCGACTACTATGATTAATCACCCGGTATAAAACATCGTAACCTCTAGATTATCATTTTGCACGGCATATTTATCGGACGGCTACCTGAAGATGCTGCATCTCCAGACGCGAAAACACGCGAGGCAGAAGATAACTCCCGTATGGGGAAGAGAGGACGAGGGAGTGGGGGGGGGGGGGAGATAGGAGGGGCGAGTCGGCAAACTCGACGTGCAGTTTCTTCGGCATTACAAGAGCATCCACCTTCGCTTTAATCAAGTCGGAGAGCGGCGGCGGGCGCGCGCGAGCTACCGTAAACGGGTTATATACCTGGAGGAACTCACCTTCACGACGTGGTGTTTCTGATTAATGCTCGGCATCCTCAGGACACGGCACCAGAGCAGCGTGTCTTGCCCCATGGGTAAACGAACCTGCACAGCAATTCGAATGGTACTTCGTTAAGCGAGTATAATTCCATGCGAAACTAACGGATAGAGTCGCTACATTGAGACCATTGATACTTCGGCGTCAATGTCACGGAAAGTATCAATACGGTGCTTCGTCGGAAAGAAAATATGATTCAGATGTATATATATAGTGTATATATACAATAAATACATGTATTTTAAAACAACTGAATTGTAAAGTACAAGCAAAATTGAAGAAATTCGAAAATATTATATGCACTTATATTTTATTTTCAGGTACCCGTCATTTCTATTAAAAAAAAAATAAAGTAAAAAAAAGTAAATTATTTCTATTATAAATTCTCAAAATTATAAATTAATATAACAAAAACAAAATTACAAAGCTTTAAATCAAGAGAGTGAAACATAAAATAAGATATATAAAAATATTATTAAACAAAATATGTTGTTTTTAATAAAATATAAATTTTGAGTAAAAGATTTTTTACGTTAAAACGATATTTCGAGCATTGATCATTAATATTATCAGATTAAACTTTAAAAACATCAGATAATTGATCGGAAAAATATTTTTATGGGATATTATATCACATTGTATCATGTTACCATGATTTCATTATTTCGAAAACTTATTATATAAAAATATTATATAAAAATATTATTTAAACAAAATGTGTTGTTTGTAATAAAACATAAATTTCGAGTAAAATAAGTTTTACGTTAAAATAATATTTCGAATATTGTTATTATTTTAAGTATTAATATTTTTACAATTATCACAGATATAATTAAATATCAAAAACATCGGGCAATTTATCGGAAAAATATTTGTGTGCAATGTGCATCATGTTGCTATGATTTCATTGCTTTGAAAATTTATTACATTCCGTCTTAAAAGTAATTATCAGTTAACAAGCACAAAGAGTTCTTTTTTGTTGGAACGAATAGCAAGAAGTAGAGGGGAAAAATTCGGAGAACTTAGCTACTTGATGCATACGTCAGGTTAATGGTTTGTTACAACGGAGTAAGAGCAGTTAAACGCAAATATATACGAGAAATTCATTACTATATTTTCCGACGCCGCGTGCGACTTACGTAACAAGGTTGCAAGTTGCTTTTGTGATATACGAGCCCATTTCGCCCTGTCTCAAAGCGGCGCCTTCCACGCCACGCGACTATTTTGCACAGTTCTCATGCACGGCCGGCTGCATTGTGCACGAACGTGTTGCGAGTTTTTCGGCACGTATAACAGAATAAGAACTGCATGTACCGGCGTTAGTTGCGTTACTTGTTCTAGGTAGTTTCGCTCGATATACAAACCGTATTGTTACGCGCGAACATATTGTTCAAAATATTCTCAAAACGGTAGTTCGCAATATTGTAGGTACCGCTTATTGTTAGCTACTTTCGACTACATTGATGTACCTCGATCGTTTTATATACATATAGAGTAAGATTTATAAATGAAAAAAATTCAAAAAATACTTAGTTTTTATTTATATAATTTTTCCAGCGCAAATCGAATATAAATTTCAAGTGATATATGATATAATAATTTGCCTGTGCCTGCTTCTCTATTTTACTTGTTCATTAATGATACACATCACGATACCATTATTATATATAAAACTAATTGTACAACTTGTAACTAATCTGGTTTTGTAACTAATCTGGTTAATTACATGCTTGTTGCTCCACGACAGGATAAGAATTACCTGTACCAGTATTAATCGTGCTATTTGTCCCGTATATGTATATCCATCTGCAAGTCAGATTTTGACGAATTACTCTCGGAATACGAGATTTTGTGCATCAATGAAACCACGCTACACTCCGTTGCAATGTATCTCGGTAAATATGGAGACCCCAAGGGAAGTGGGGAAGGCAGGGTGCTGGTGGGTCGTTTCAAACTGCTCGCCGCGGGGCGTATGGACGACCGTATAGCGTCCGAGAAAATTACAATTCTCTTTTTCGCGCATCTCCTCCCCGACGACCGACTCCTGCCCTAAGCGCTCGAACCACGCCGGCGGATTCTCCCACGCGCTTATGCGAAATTATCGATGTCGAGATTACCGGGAAGGACGAGCGCGTTTATTGTTTTGCGGTCGAGCATGTTTGAGCGACGCCCGGGGGCGACGACGGAGAAATTTTTAGAGGACTCGCAGATACATTTCCGATTTCTACGCCAATAAGCATCGGACTCTGCCTTTGTCATTTCAAAACGATTTCTCTTTCTTCATTGACATTCGCGAAGTGAGATAAAGTGTCCGATAATAAAGGCTGCAAAAACTTCCGTCAGTCAATAATGGAATAATCAATCTTGCAGCTACGTGTACAATTTTTAATATTCTAAATTTGCTAAACTAAATTCAGCATGTTTGAACAAAAAGTTATACAACAGAAATATGATAGTATTCGCAAATGTATGGCAAGAAAGTAAAAATTAACGAACCAGTAACAATCTCTTTAACAAACGAAAGAATATCGTAGAATATGAAGAGTAGCGCAATGTAAACTCATTTCTTATCAGCCTCGTCTTCTTTGTGCCTATTCTTCTACTCCATATTCATCGTAGCGCGATACAAAAGTTACTCGGCTATTCGGCAACTTTTGCGTCATATTTAAAATAAATTCCCTGCATATTAGCACATAAGGCCTTTTTAGTTGCACTTTAATTTTCTTTACATTGTTTGTATCCAAAGTAAAAGACACACATATATATATATATATTTTTTTTTTTAAGAAGAAGGAAAGCAATATAAAATGTAACTATTCCACTACAACGACTGTAACAAAGTATTTGTAATGTAAACGGTTGAACAAAAATCTAGCTACAGCTGATGAAATTCGACAAATTGGAAATGTATTTACGAGCGAAATACATTCCGCGCGAGACGCTAGCTTGTCTCAAGCGATATTACATGGTCAACATTTCCGGGTCGTTTATCAGCACCGTCCAGCGAATGATCTTGCACTTTTTCGCGGGCCAACAAACGGAATACGTGGAGCGGAGCGTGGCCCGATTCCGGTCTCGATATAAACTATAAACAGCGGCGGGGGGCAGACGGTAGAATTAGCATTGTCCGATTCTCGGCGATAGCGCCGCCCTCGTAATCTACGACCCGGCGACGCTAATGAACGAATAGTTTTTGCCGGATGTGACCTGGTTAAGATTTATGCCGTCATAAATTCGGGGCACAATGCCTTCTCTCTCTCTGTCTCTCTCTCTAACACGGCCGCGTGATAAAAATCCAGTCGCGCGCGAGCGCGTCCAGCTAAATGCGTTCGGAACATTCATCTCACGCACGCGATGTACATACGCACACGCGACTTGTACACGTGTCTACGAATGACGGAAACAAAAGCGTATGACGAGAGAGAGCTTCGAAAAAGCTTGTTCGCGTCTCGGATTCGGATAAACGAATAATTCGCCGCGTCTCCGCTCACAACAAAACGCCGATCGCGCGGAACCAGTTTTTCTCCGTTTCGCTCGTGAAATTTTTAACTCTCTCTCTGTTTAGATTTACCTACAAAATATCGATACGAGATAAAGCTAATACTTTCAAAGCTTAAAAGAAATCAAGTTGAGCTTACCGATTATTTTTATTTCTAGCATTTCGAGACGGAGTTCTCGGAATTTTTTTTTTTTATTGCAAATCTTCAAAAGTCTTCAGCACGAAGATATATATTCTTGGTGAAGACTATTTCTTGAAAATTAATGTCGAGTTAATAACGAGTTACAATGCTGATGATGATTCTTCAGAAAAGCCTGAATAAAGTAACTTTAGTTATCTTAAATACTTTCATGAAACCCGGCTTGAATCTGCCCTCCGCGCAAATCGAGTTCAATATCACAACGCCGATGGCAGATCCACTTTCGTGAACTCTAATTAAAACTCTTTAATCGTCTTTGTTCGCGCTCGCGAATTTCTCCGCGGTCGGGATGAATATTAACTTTGTTCTTGTTTCTTGTCACGTGCCGTCGTAATAACGCAAATCATAATAAATGCAATGTGCACCAACTGCGCGCTCTCTCCCTCTCCTTCCCTTCTCTCTCTTTTAATTACATCTGGAGCGAAACAAAATATTTCCGTCTTCAGCTAGTTAATCTCATTCGTTAAGTATTTATCTTGACGGAATCTCCGTATCGTGTATTTATCGCATATCTCAGAGTGATTTTTATCTCTCAGAACACGTCTGATGAATATGAGAATTTAAATATGAAACGAAAAACAGAGCCTCGCAACCCACCTGCTTGTTCAAGATATCCCAGATCTTCAGCGGCGGCTCCGCTTCCTGATTACGCGAGCTCCGTTTGGGCTGCGCGTCTCTTTGCACCAGGTACAACGGTCTCGATCCTCGCACTGCTCCGTGATCGGGCAAGATACCGGCCGCTGATACCGGCTCCTCGACGTGATATTGCCACACCACTTGCATCGTGTCGTTCTGAAACACAAAGGACGACCCCAAAGTCAAAACGGGTGTCTCGTTCCTACACTTTTTGCTGCCGAAAAATATCGATAGCGAAACGGGGCTACAAAGGGTTGTGCCTTTGTACCTAGGTCGCCATAAAAATTGCTGCTTTCGGGAAAGAGTTACTCCACACGACGCGAATAAACGTCCTCTCTGCCGAAGATTGCGCGCTCGGCTGCGTCTTTTAAAGCCTTTTGTTAAATTTACGATCAAAAATTGCACCAGACCAAACCATTGTGAGCCATTTTTAAAAGCTTCAGAAAAATAGAAGCAAAATACGCATTAGTTTTTACTTCTAATATAGTTTCGATAAAATAGAGTTAATGTTCTTTTTTAATTGAATATTCGCGCACACAAAATTCAATATATGAAGTATTCGGCAAAATAACGCGGTGAAGGCATTTTTCTCATTTTGTATAATAATGAGTTTTAATAATTCCGCAATTAAAATTCTGGACTCGGCTATATTTCGGACCACCCAGGGTGTCCTAAACACCCCTGGTCCGCGAAGGGGCGTCGATTTCTCTTGGCGCGCGCCAATCACCTGCGGTCATGCTGCGGGCATACGCGATTCACCCCTCGAGAAGAAAGGCGGCCATCGAGGGTGGTCGGACCATATATCGAATACAAGCGACAGCGTCCCGCCGCGCGCCGTCCGCCTGTCGCGGTTGCCCGCGAAACGTACACGTGTCCAACCGCGCCAAACTTGGGGTCGCTTTTACAAGCAAGCCACTTACATGTTGCGGGACAATCGCGCCTGATTGGGGAACTGACCGTACGCGGACTCGTTAACCGATCCGTTCCAAAAAGAGGTCACTCATGACGCGACTGGTTATAGAAATAAAAATAAAAAGCGCGCAGTTATTGTCAGCCAAATTTGCGAGTTCATAATCAAGGCAATTTCTGCATTGAGGCTAATCTTTTCAAATGATGACAGTCTTTCTATTTCTTTCTATTTTTATTCTTAATCGATTAATTTCACTCATTTATTACGGAATAAGGTATACCGGTTAAAGTATACGGAAAATAATGTATAGATTAAATAAAAATTTGAGATGGCTTTCATCGAAGATGTAATGTTTAATTAATTTGTTTTTTTTTTCTTTAGTTTTTAACACGTTTACATAGTGTTCGATTTTACTATATAATACATGGAGAATTTAATATATTTTTTACATTTATAGCGAGATTTATAGTTAAAAGATATCACAGGGAACAGGAAATTAATAACTGTATTTTTATTAATAAAATGATTGAAATTGTAAAAATAACGTATGCCTATATTAAACACATGCAAGTAAAATATTTGCGATAGTAATTTGCCTAAATCACTTTATGAAACATTGATTCAGAAATATTAAACCAAATACCGCGAGAATTCACATCCATCATGTCCTCGATCGTTATCGACCCCTGTCTGCTACCATTAACGTATCGGAGACCCAGATTAAGAGCGTACTTCGCCACCCCAGACACGTCTCGACGTAAAGCAAAAAATCGTCGGCGAAATCACAGAAGTCTCGCAATCGGCGACGTACGAATTTGCAAACCGCTCACGTGTTACCCATTCACGTTTCTCGATAATCGTCAAGCCCCCCAACATCGTGCCTACCCCTTCCTCGAGGAGGAGAAACCCCACGTCCGCGTCCGTTAACTCCGCCGCGTGTAATCGTCGGCGCACCTACGTTTGTTTCCGAATTGGTTGAGACAATCGGGCGCCACTTCTCGCGCGAGGAAACGAGGATGAGGTAAGATACGACGTGGCGACCCAGATCCGACAGATCGAAAGATTCCTGAGGCCAAGACGGAAGGTCGATCGGAGGAAATGGGCATCGCTCTGGAAAGAACGAGGTGAGAATCACGCGATTCGCCATCGATCGATTCCGGAGACGCCCTTAGACTATTTTATGCACTCTCGTTGTCCTCTCTTAGATCAACCGCGCTGCAGTTTTTCGGAAGCACGCTATCTTATAGTGTGTGTCTCAAAATTTAACATTGCCAACCAATTTTAATATTAAAGACAAGCTTCAGAGCTTTCAGTAAATTATCTTATTCTTTAATAAATTTCAAATAAATTTTGCTTTGAGAAAATTTGAGTTTATCCGATTTGTTTATCCGGGTGCATAATATCGACAATTAAACGACTGTGAAAAAGGGCGATCATTAAATTTTTGTGACAAGAAAAAATTCACTCTGATCACAAAATCCATAATTTAAAGAAAGCGTAGCTAGTCTGAGATATCACAGATTTTTTTGCTTAATATTTTATATACGAGCTAAGTTAAATTTCTGTTGTGTCATTAAAGACGCTTAATGCTTTTTTCCTTGACATTAAAAGAGCCTAATATCTGAGGATAATAAATGTATCTTTTCTGTTCGTTTTTCTGTTTCTGTGTTTTCTTCGTACATAAAGTTTGTAATTAATTCAGAGAGTTCTAATATCTCATATTTCATCTTGACAGTTCCGACATAATTTTACATTTCATCTTCCACAATGTTGAATATCGCGATTCATAATTGCATAATTACTTTTTACTTCAATTTATCTAATCATTTTTCAAGTCTCTTTATTTGCCTTAACTAAATTAGCTTTCTAATTTAGCAGTTAGATAGTTCCAATTCATTTGTAATCGTTTGAAATATTTAACTGTTACACATTTATACTATTATACAATGCACTTTCATGAAACTCACAAAGGATTTTACGCTACAGCATAATATAGATATCCTCTCTTTTACCTTCTATTTCAATACGTTCTTATGCAAGAGTTTCGTGGAAAATAGTAGCTTTTTTGTGAATCTCGTTGATCGTCAGGTTCAAAGAACGCGATGCTATTGTGAGACTCGAGTCCGCCATTCGCGATGCGAATAAGCTACGCGCTCGATCTCAGAAATTCTGATTTAAAAGATCCACCCAACCTGCTGTATGCTTAAATAGATCGGCAAGGGAAGAGCGATGCGGAAAGATTCTTCCGGAAATGAGAACGATATTGACGCTTGTAAGGATCATTAAGCGAGAATATGATCCATGGAAACCATAAACATGCATTTAATTATCACAAGGATGCTTATTAGGGATGCTCATTAAACGCAAAAAGTTACGGCATAGTACAGAAAAGGTGTATGTGTGTGTGGTGTATAGAGAATTATAACAATCTTGAAAATGAGAGAAAATAATATAATTAAAAAGGTTTCAAATAATATCAGAATAAAATTCTTTAATAACTACCAAGCAATATTTTCACTAATTTATGTAGATATCTGATAACATCCTAAAAGAAATTTTTATATTGTTTTAATGATAATACAGATTGATAAGAAACGTTCTTTAAACAAACAAATCCATCAAGCTAAGAAATCCACATGTTAAATTCATAATTTAGGTATTTATTATTATTTAATTTACGTTATTTCTTCCGAATACTAATTATGTAATCGATTAAATGTATGCTGTTTTATAAACATATGGTTTGCTGCATACTTTATACTTTAACTCAGGAATATTGCCATAAAGAAATATTCGGGCTTACGACATATGAGTAAGATATAAAACAAAAAATCTTGTTTGAAAGATAGGCTAGATAACTTCGCGGGACAAGATGTAAGCAAGAAGACAAACGGAACGGATCTGAGATTCGAAGACATCTTCTACTAACTCAGGCGACGTTTCTTTCGCGGAACAACTTTGTTGTTCGTTGTTCTCGTAAGCCGTAAATCTCCTTCACTTGTTCGTTTTGCACACCAACGTCCCTCCGTCTGCGTATCTACGTTAGAAACAGTCGTAGTTCGCAATTATCCGTTCCAATAGTCGTTGGGTCAAAGGAGAGAAGAGAGGGAGGCAGAAGATCCCATTTCGCAAGTTAAAGATGTCAGCCGCGATGTGAGCAAATGGCACGCGAGTTCCCTTGGAAACCCTGGCATAAAAGATCTGGGCCACGTGCTCCGTGGAATCCCAAAGTTGAGTGCAAAGAGAACGGGAGGGAGAGAGAGAGAAAGAAGGGACAGCAGGAAGATATATCAAAGGGAGAGCGTAGTACTATAATGGCGCCTAATAGAGTTCCCTTATTACGCGAAGCGGTAAGGTTATTGTGGACTTCGCTTTTGAACTCCGGAAACGATTTCGATCGTGACGTTAAAACAATTTCTCGAATAACAGTAAACGGAGCAATATTACCTTATGGGCAATTCAATTTCAGCATTAATACGACAATTATCTGGAAGTCTCCAGTAGCCAAATACAATTATCTTCATCTAATTTAGTAATCACAAATCCACTGGAATTAAAGGTTGATGTCCTTTAGATTCGAAATCCAAGGGTCAATGTAATATTGACGTTACTATATAAAAAGAGTTACAATAAAGAGATAACAAATGGGAATCATTCGAGCACACGAACTGGTCTATCCTCCGAAATTGAAAATCCACTTCCTTCTCCTCTCTCTTTGAAACTTCCCCCACCCCTGTTCTTCCTCTTCCGTATTACGCCAGGAATCGTATCTCACGGCTAACGTCGCGCGGCAGTCGTTGAATTTAAGGGGCGTACCCCAATTTCGGGGTTGAGAGATATCACTTGCTATGTGAGCAAATGACGCGTTCTTCCTTCCTCGGAAAACTCCGTTTTAGAAGCTCGATAACGCTCCCCCCGTTTTCAAATCTTCACTTCAGCGGCGCGAGCCGAAAGAAAAAGAACAGTTCGAAGGGACGATCCTCTTATTAAAGATAAGATAGTCCTTTCATAACTGAACGTATTCAGAAGGCGGTTTAGAATTTAAAAGTTATCGCAATTTAAGAGTGACAACGAATTCAACGCGTATTTTTCAATGTAGTGTCAGTGTCGAAATGTCAAAAATATAATTAACTTTTTAAATGAAGATCATTCAAATAATACCTATGATTATTTGAAAACCTTGTTTAAAATATTTCTGTTAGTCTAAAATAATTTGTAAGATGCATCCACTTTCACCGCAACAGAT